ACTGTTGTGGGGTGTGGGGGGGGGTGTCTCTAGGTGCTCTTCCAGTGCTGGTAATTTTGTGCCTGATCCAGAGAGAGGGTTCCCTTTCACAGATGCGCTTCGCCTAAAATTGTCTAGGGAGAGAGTAAAAGTGCAGATTCTAGTCTCCCAGATCAAAAAATAATGGCAGCAGAGGTACCATATAGCCTGTAGTGTACTAAATCTGCCCTCATCTGTCACTTTTCTAGTTTGTGAAGTTAATTTGAGTCTGTTAAACATCTTGAGCTCCTCCTGTTGGTATACTTTCTTCTCTTTATTTCACCTTTAGTGCTGTTGATAAGTAGTTCTTTTCTTGACAGGGCATTTAATATAAGAAACCATCTTTTGGTGTGCTTCCTGGTGGGAAATCCACTTACATCCTCTTCTGTAGGGAGTCAAAAGCTGAACTGACAAATGTATCCAAACGTCAGGTAGGCGCTGCTAGTGTAATGCTGCTGTTTCGTCCTCGAGGAGCCTCCCAGGGCCCTGAGGGTCCCATGGCACAGACCCCAGAGTTCCGTGTTACCAAACTAGCCTTTCTGCAGGTTGTCACATGCCCGTCTGTTCTAATGACAAAAATGTGGATTTTCTGAGCTCTCCTGGAATCAGTGCAATGTCAGATCAATCTAAGCAGTGCCAGTGAGGTATTGTAATAGCACACACACCTCGGGTATCCAGCAGGCTGATTCTGTTGCCTGAGATGGGAGCATAACTAAAAATTACTTAATAATGTGATTAGCCTATTGCCTACCCTTCCTGAGGATTGAACTGTCCCTGCCAGAGCCTGAAAACCTGCAGTGGCAGGACCGGCACTTTTAAGTATCTAGCCTGTTGTTACTGGGAGGTTAGCGATTTGCTTAAGCCTTTTGAGCCTCCTTCACAGCCAGCTGTCATGTTTGCCTTGAAAATCTCTGACACCTGCTCCTTTGTCAGCCCTAAAGCTTGAGTGATTTTTCTCCAGAAAGTCTTGCCGTGCTTCAGAGCTCCTCACAGCACTGCTCAAACCCCTTGGCATGGCAGCATCCTTTCTCTAGACTGGACACAGGAGGATTGCGCAGTCCATGGGGACCCAGGATGTTAGCAGAGGTGCTGTGGGTGGCTGCCTGTGCGTATGAGGGGGCAGCATGCAGGAGGGATTGGCAGTGGTGAGTTATCAGCAGAGGCATCTCATGCTATGTGCATACTGTTTTGGGCAACACTATGGGGCAATGTTGGCCAAACTGCTTTGCCTGCCTCCTGCACCGCGCCAGCACGCAGCTATCCCCACAGTCCGTGCTCCCAGCTGAGGCAGCGCCTGTGTCAGAGAGCAGCAGGACACAACGGGAGCAGAGCTGCAGTCCAGGCGCTGAGGCTTGTGACCATGCCGTCTCTGTTTCAGGAATTTCACTTCAGGAAAGCTCTGCTTCCCTTGCTGATGGGGGAGGAGTGTCTGGGGCTCAGTAGCCTGAGCATTGCATACTGCACCACTGGCAGTGCTTACCTCAAAGGAAGATACACTCTCTTCCTACCTGACAAGAGGCACCAGCTCTGCTGCACCTTCTCCTGTGCCAGGTGAAGCCTCTGTGAATTTCCAGCAGTGCTGTTGCTAGGTCAGGATCAGCCTTACTGCCAGAAACATGTGCAGTCATACTATGTCACTTGCTGCTCCTGCTCTCATTGTTTGCTGAGGACAGCCTTACTCACCAGCTCTGCCAATGTTGAAGCCGCATGTTACACCTACAGCTCTTTGCTGCTGCAGTGCTGTGCAGAGCTGCTGCCAAGGTTCGGTCTTGGGGAAGGATTCCTCATCCATGTGAGCACTGCTGGTGCATTGAGGCAGAAGGCAGGTGGGACTTGGAGACCTGCCAGACGGCCTTACTAGCAGACCCTTGTGCTGAAGCATCAGAACCCTCTGGTGAACTCAGGTTCAGGCTCGAGAGAGGGTCACAAGAGTCCCATCTACCCTGCCTAACCTTGAGGACACTGGGACATACAGTGTCCCCATTCGTTGTCCTCACATGCTGCCTCAGGTCTGTACAAGTGTTGGAAACAGCTGAACCGAGAACTGGTGAGGATGTTAAAAATGTGGTGGGGGCAACTTCAATGCTAAACAAGGTCTCAACAAATGAGCACTACCCTGGGATGGCAGAACTGCTTTTTTAAGTCTAGATGGAGTAGAAGGTGTTGTCTGTCTTGTGTGCATGTCTCTGCCTGAGCCTGAGTGTCCTCGTTCACAGCTTGGGGGAGGCAGATGAGAATAGCAAGGTGGTTCCTGTCCAAAGACATGTCATTTTGTACATGAAATCATTATGAAATGTGGAATGAGGCAATAATGACAACATCTGCAGGCATCTTTGTCGTGAATTTGTCACTGGAGATGTTGCTAGCCATGAATGCCTAACTCACATGTATGGCTGAGCTGGATGGCAAGTGCAGACTGAAAAAAGCAGGAGCATAGGCTTTCAGGGAAGTTTTCCTAGGTTTGGTTTTGGCTTTGCAAGGGCTTACCAGCGCAAGCCCCTGGATGACCCTGGCAGCAGTGGACACATCCTGAACAGCAGCAGTCCCGCAGAGGTACATTGAGCTCCTTTGGCCTCGTGGGTACATCTGCTGGTTTGAACAGCCAGGTGGAGGATTGTGGTGGCGACAGCCTTGAGCTATTTGGCCAGCCACAGCGATACCAGGGAAGAGATGAAGGGTTGGTGCCCAACAAGAAACTCAGGGTAATGAGCCATAGCAGTGCTTCAGGCTGCATCCTCCAGCCTTCTCCTCTGACAGGGAGCTGCACACAGCCTGGGACAAAAGGACACGTTGTTTACCAGAGACCACTTGCGGCCCAGAGACCAAAACAACATTTTATTGTCACTGTTTCCACATGCTGTGGATGCTGTGCCTGGTCTACGTTAAAGCACTGTGGTCACACTGGGTGGATTCCCCACACCCTTCTGACCAAGGCTGGAGACTTTGCCAAGGCCCAGAAGCTATTCCCAGCCCAGGAGCCTCGTACACTTTCGCTTCCAGTTCTGCAGGCTGCTAAAAGCAGGAGGATTCATCGACAAGAGAAAAGCCTGGGCTGTTAGATGGTTATGCTTTGCCTTTCAAGCCAAGAGTGTCTCAATTTGCCAAGAAATGCGTGGGCTCTGCTGGGCTCCTGTGAGGGGACAGGGGCTGTGCTGCCTGGGTTAGTACGATGCACAGGGCGGTCAGAGCCCACGGGAATCAGCAGGAGCCTTTCCGTTCAGGCCGGTGGGCTCAGAAGCAGGTTTCTGTAACCAGCCCCTCTGCATCACCTCCTACTTCAGCCCTTGAATTTCCCTTTTCCCTTTGCAAGCAAGCTTGGATCACAGTGTGCGCCTGCCTCCAGCCCCAAGACCATCCCTTGCATACAGCAGCAGGGAAGGAGCTTGAGACAAGGCATTCGCACACCATAACCAGCAAGGTGGGCACTGGCCAATAGGTCTTCCTGAGCCATACGGGTGTTTCTTGTTCACAAAGCTGTAGAACTTAATAAGCTGCTTAAGTCTAGCACAAGCTTAACTCCAAGGAGCCCCTAATCTGCACCCAGTCTTTTTCCTGGAGGAGCGATGCTGCTCTGCATCTCTCCGGCATGAGCAGGAGGTGCTCGCCTGCTTCCTACCAGCTCACTCATGCTCAAAGAACTCATGGCAAGCAGCGGTGACCATTGCAATGAAGGCTACAAACTCGTGGAAGTCGCACTCTGCATCCCCATCGCTGTCCAGGGCCTCCATGACTTTGTCCACAGTCTCCTGGTCTTTGATCTCCTGAAGGGATAGAAACAGGCAACCAAAGCTGGGGAGGATCAGGGCGAGGCCTAGACAGTAACATGTCCCTGCTTCTCAGGTGCTCTCACGGCTGAATCTCTGTTCAGACACATCCCAAATAGCTCGTGGCTGTTTCCCGTCTGTGTTGGGGCACCACCCTGCGCCTGCAGCAGCATCTGCGCAACAGCAGCTCTCCTGACGTGGGAATCACAGTCACAGCCGTGCCGCTGGGAAGGGACATCTTGAGTCCCTTGGAGCAAGGCTGTTCCCCCTTCCTTGGGAAGAAAATTTCCCTAGTGTCCAACCCGAACCCCAGCCCCCAATGCAGTCTGTTGCCCTTGTCCTGTCACCTGCTGCTCCTGCAGAGCTGGAGCAAAGTGTTTAACACACTGCTGCATGAATAAACCTCTTCCTCTGTGTTTGCTTCCCATGTGAGATGGAGTTAGCGGGGCCTGGCAGCTGCTCAGCACAGCTCCCTGAGCCCAGCAAGGTATGCAGTGCAGAGGGCAATACTTACACCAAGGAAATGGGTCAACTCCTCGTTAATGAGCTCCTTCAGTTCTGATTTCTTCAGCTTATGCTTGTCTCCCTCCTTCCCTGAGTACTGGTGAAAGGCATCAATGATGGTGATCATGGCCTTCTCCAGCTCAGACATGGTTGCAATGTGGCCCTGAGATCAGAGGGAGCGATGAGTACATTAGCCTGGGCAAGCTCCAGACATGCCTTTTGCCTTGCAAGCGTGGCCGCCCGGGGGCTCCCCCAACGCATCAGCAACACCGGACCCCGTGCTTAAAACATGCTACTGAAAGGACCGCTAGTAGCTCTCACTTCAGGGAGAAAGATCCCGAGAGACCTTGGCTCTGCCTCCGGGAGCTCTCAAGGAGAGGAGAGCCATAATGCAAGGAGTGCCCAATACAGGACTGGCACATGCCGGAAGCTGACACATCCCCTGGGACTGATGTGAGTTTGGCACCTTGGGTCTCTGTGTGGGCAGAACATAGGAGAGAAAACGAGGAGAGGCTGCAAAGCCTTGACGGCTTCCAGCAAGGTGCTCCTGCATTTTCTGTATGTGCAGACTTGGCTAGCAGGTGGCATGGTTTCGCTTCGCCTCTTCTGTGGCTCCTGCTGCTTAACCCATTGCTTTGTTCTCCTTGCTTGGGAGAGGGGCAGGCAAGGGTTTCATTTTTGCACGTGGAGCTTCAGAAAGGTTTTGCTGTCTCCTCTGTCACAGGCGCTCTCGCCTCTGCCTTTCTTGACTGCAGACCTGTCTCCAACTGAGCAGTCAAGGACACCCAAGCAGGAGCCAGTTTTGATGAGTGACAGCAGGATAAAACAAGCACATCTCCTCTAACCTCCCTCCTCCCACACTTGATCTGGAGACCCTCTTGGGAATGTTAAATCATTGGGATTGCAGTGTTCCCTGCAGATTTCACAAACAGACAAACCAAAGAAACTCTGATTGAAAAAGGAGAGATGCAAAACCACCTTCCCAAAAGCTGTTGAATGCACTGATGCTGGTTAGAAAAAAAAAAAAAGCGCCTTATTGTCTGGCGCTCGGTTAATGCATACCCCATAGATAAATGTCTCCTGCCTTGTAACCTGGCTCCTGTTTCACCACGACAAGACCTGATGCTGAAGGCACCGAATCTCATCCCATGGCCTGACCCTCAAGCTGATGCCCTCTCCCGTGCAGCAGTGGGTGTCCAAACTGCAAGACTGTTTCCAATCAGGTAGGAAATATTCCTGAAGCACCTCCTGCATGCATCCTAACAGCCCTTTGCATGCTCGTGCCCTGCCTGCACTAGGCTGAGCAAGCTGCCAGCGGCCCTACCTGCCCTACCTGTTCTGTCCGCAAGGCTGAGGAGTGTTTCAGCTCCCTGCTGGCCTCTGGTTTAGTGGCAGAGCTCAGAGCTGCGATGATGCCCCCCACGCCACCCCTCCCGTGGCAGCAGCCCATCTGCTCTAGCAGCCAAGCGCCTGCCCCAGCATCCCCCAGCCCCTCTCACCTTGTTGCTGGCAGCAGGGCTGTGGTACAGCAATGCAACGTGGCCAGGGACTTGCTCACTTCTTATGCCTGGGGGCGGAGAGCCCCAGGCCCTGCTGCAGTGCCCGCAGCGCCAATGGCAGCTGGAGGCGGGGGCATCCAGAGCTGGGCACTGGGCCCGCACTGCACAGCAATGTACACAGTGATGCATTGACTCGCTGCAAGCCCACGGCCGTGGACGTGGGAGCCGTTGCAGAGAAAGCCGCCGTTGTGAGAAAAAAAATAACTTGAGTAGTCAGCAGGAGAGCCAGCCTGGTGGCATCACTTGTGCTGCCACTCTTGTCCACAGTAAAGGCAATGAATTGTGAGCCACAGCCGGACAGGTGTGGCCAGAGCTGGGCTGGGGGACCCAACAACTGCCCCAGGGCACCCCACAGCCAGGGCCAGGCGTGTGGGAACAGTGGAGCCCCCCATCCCTGTGAGCCCTGTCCCAGGGCTGCAGCACCCTCTGGGGCAGAAGTTTTTCTTTGTGTGTGATGGGAACGTCCATCACAGCAGATTGTGGCTGCAGCTTCTTGTCCTTTCACTGTGCACCTCTGAGATGAGTCTGTCTGTGTCTTCTCTGCCACCCTCTCAGTCTGGGGGACAGTGGGACCCTTTGCAGGGGAATTGCGATTGTGTTGGGCTGCAAATGGTTGAAGGACAGGGCTGGCAGCAGCAGCAGCTCCTCCCTGACGCCTGCCAGGGGACAGTGCCAGGTTCTGCGGCGTGCCTTGCCGTACCTTCACAGAAAGCCACTTCAAGTGACTGTGGGTTATAAAGGTGCTCTCACAAGGCTGTCACCCAGCCAGTAACTGTGACACCACCCTTTTGTGTGGGGGGACGGCAGGAACCTCCTGCCTGCATGTACCTGTTGTCCATGTCCTGGCCACGCTGGTGGCATTGCCCGGAAGTCCTCTGCCAGCCCCAGCAATCACCACAGGCATTAAATGCACTTTTCTTTAAACCCAAGGGCTGTACGTTTCCCTTTGTATCAGACATCCCTGCAGGCTGGTGCACAGACCTGACTGGAGGTGATGGTTTGGGGGGGCTGGCGGGCAGCCCGGCAGGGAAGGGGGATCTCAAGGGCAGCAGGTGACAAACAGCAAGAGCAGCAAGCAGCATCTTTTGCCCAAACTGCTCCTGGAAGCACAGTACAAGCGAGCAGTTGATAAACACAGAGAACATGCTGAAGAAAGCAGGTTTTCACTGTGTTTCATTGCCTAGCCACACTGTCTCCCAAGAATGAGATGAGATGAGCCAAGGTTGAAGCTGTATGCTATTACTGGTATGTCATGTTTCCATTTACACCTTTTTCACTGCAGCACAGGATCAATAATTTCTTTATGTCTTAAGGTCTTTGTTGAATTTCAGACTCATTGCAACTCGGGGCAAGTCACCGAGATGACAGGTTAGCAATACCCATGATGGAGAGCCCAGAGGTGTCATTTTATTACTACAGCCAGCTCCTGTGGAGAAATGTGAGGAATATCAGAGCCTTATATGTATGCTTGTGGGGCAGGATGAAGGTCCGGACATCTTCAGAAATGTCCCTTTGAAGAGGCAAGACCAGATTGCTGGGCAAACATAGTCACTGGCAGTTCCTGTGATCCCCAAAGCTACCATGGATGTGATCACTGAGACAAGACCTACCATGTTACTTCAGAATTTTTCTGACACTGGTGTGAAAGAAACCCACCGACATTGGTCGTTTCCTTACATCAGTTCTTGAAAGCTTTTGTAACAGCTTCAAACACTGGTTTAGGGAAAAAGTGTTAAGTGTGAGTACGTTGACTCTAAACACAGACCTACCACTGAAATTCTTGCATTTATGGTATCGGGAACTCCAGCAGTTATCTTTGCTCTCGTTGGACTGGCAGGGATAGGAGGCACGCTTTTAGCCAGTGGTGTTTCTAGCATGGAGACAGTTTGTCAACAATCTTGCAGTATTTGATTTTTCCCAAGGGTATTTATATTCACTTAAGAGCTGGCTGTAAATGGGG